AGAGGAAGGCGTTGTTCTTGGGTCACTCCTGTCAGTGACGGTACGTTTCCGTTCTATAACAGGGGTTTCAACTACAGATGTTGTTGTATGTGACTTAGTAAAGAAATTTGCTAATAAAGCACACATTTTGTCTTTTTCCTTCGGGACTTATATGGACACCACTTACGTCACTTGTGTCAAATAATGATCGTACAATAATACCCGATTTACAAAACTCACCGGCGATATCTACGTAGTCTAGTTCCTCGTCTTTTGAACAGAGTTTTTTAATGAACTCAAGGTATTTACTAAGTTCGTTGTCTCGTTTAACTTTGTGATGTTGTGACCTTTGCCTTTGCAGGGCAAACCACTGCAGATACCAATATGTGTCTTGGGGAAAGTCTCTTTGACTTTCGCTATTGCTTTAGTGTACATAATGTTCACATGATCACTGTCATCTCTGTTTTTTATTATGTCATTTGTCCCCAAATAAAGTGCAATTTTGTTTAAATGAGTGACTGATGGGTTAATTTTCTTACGACCTAAATTTATACACATGTCTATATCGTCCAGAGTGGCTCCGGAGATTGACGCATTGACAACATTTTGCTGAAAGTCACCAAGACGTTTGGCATTTGATGCACCAATGATGAGGTTTACGTTGTCTTTTATATGTTCAGATGGTTTATCTGTAGGGTGCATTGTGTGAGATGGCTTGACACCAGTTTCAGCAACTGTTTCATTTTCATTAGGCGAAGGTAATGTTTCGATAGTTGGCTCAATGGACGTTTCACAAATAGATTTGTTTTGCTCATTCTGTATCGATTGTCGACCTTCTAATATTTCGGATGCATACGGACCAAAGTCATGTTTTGCCTTATCAGAAGCAAAATTTTCACATTCTGATCGATTGTGACCATTCTGTTTGCAAAAACTACATGTTGGCTGATTTTTGCAATCCCTAGCAATGTGACCTTTCTGTGTGCAATTATAGCATTGTTTTTGTTCCTGTTGTAGCTTTGGTTTTTGAGGACAGGCGTACCAAACGTGATTAGAAGATTTGCAGTATTTACATTCTGTACGATTATTGTCTGCAAAGAGTCGTACATCAAAACGACCCAAGTTTGTTCTGTTCGGTAATGTGGGCTGACAGTTTAATATTTGTATGTACTTGGTCCCATTTTCAATGGTCGTACCTTTGATATATCCCCTTTGAACAGATGATGGAATAACATTTCCGAAACGAAGCATCTGGGTTGCAAAAAAGCAATTATCTAGTTCGTATGGTAGGTCTTTTACAGTGACATTTGTAATATTTATTTCAACATCATAGAATGAAACTGACCTGTTCTTTAATGTTATTCCACTTGTCAAAAGATTTTCCTTAGATTCAAAATCTTGTAGAGATACTATGCAATTAGTTTCCGTAAATTGGATAGATTTCACATCATCTAGACTTATAGTTTTCTTTATTTCCCCTAAAACATCATCGTAGGTTGTCCCTCGGAAACATTTTGTACTATACTGTATGGACAAGTCTCTTCTGGTAAGGGACATTTTGTTTAGAGTTTGTTTAGAGTTGTGAGTAGATTTCAGGAATGCATGTAAACAAGTCAGGTTTATACCAAATACTACCTAAATGTCACAAATTTCTGTAGAATCAATTGCAAAAAACTTCCTGACGATAGAATCCTGAAAATATGAGTCAAGAACAAGTAAATAATAACAGTTATTCTAATTTTTCCCGGACCTCAATAAAACACATCTCCATTACCAAGGGACATAGTTAAAGAACTCTTAATGCTCTAAAACTTCTTAGTTTGTTTGTCCATTGTATCTTTTTTGATTCGAGCGTCAATGATGAGTCTTTTGTAGACGAAATGCACGTCTGGCGTACACAATTTTAAGACTGTTATCTACATGATCTATCATAAGTTTATCTCTACGTTATTTCGTGTGGAGAAATGCCTCATTGGCAATCATACCACATCTTCTTATTTCTATATAGAATTGATGCGTCCTCAAAATATAACACGGACACATTATATAATTTGTTAAAAAGTACAATACTCCTCATGTATATGTAGCAAATTAAATACAACAGTTGGCATATTTGTACTGTTATTTGTGAAGTTTGTCGCTGAGATGTTTCTCTTTGGCTTTAGTTTTCAATGAGAAATCGTCCTTTGTCTGTCGTGCTTTTCTTGTCTCGAGTCTAGTTTTTGACTCTGGGTTTCTATCACCTCCTTCACTGACGCTTCAATTTGTAACTTTTCCATTGGTTTTTGTCATTAATTGCTTTGTTTTATAAAAGAGAAAATGAGGTCCAATATTTAATATAACTAAACTTGAATATTTTGAATTTTCATTTTGTTTTATTCTTTTAATAAACTGATTTGTAAGTTAAGTTTTTGCAAATTCACTAGAAAAGGAGGAAATTGTATACTTTGAACACATCTGAGATACATACCAATTTTACAATAGTAATTCAAAAATCAAAGTTTTAGTATGACGAACCATTTCGCTTGTTTTACATTGTCAATGGAGAACTGCCTATATTAGTTATACATTGTAAGCGTGTTAAGTACTGATTGAATTATAAATAAATGTGAAATCTTAAGACAACAACACCACACTTATTAAATGATAAGATTGCTATACAGATCTCTTAACACAACAAATTAAATTTTGAAAAAAAAAAATCTTTTTTGTTATTAGATATATTTCGAATTGAAAATTTTTAAAATGCTATTGCATATAAAATATTCCTTTTACACACATTATTGACAAATAAACGATGATAAAAATTTCTTAAATTGTCAACTATTTTTATGCAAACATTAGCAAACTTTAATTAAGAATATAAGGTGAAATGATACTCCCGAAGCACGCTAGATAACCACAAAAATGTAAATTGAGAATTATGTTAAGAATGATTATTTGAAAAGAAGATTGTTTAAATAAGTATCATTTTAACATATCTAACTACCAATACAATTTCTCACAAAGTGGACAAATGTTTGGTATAAGATCATAAAGATAAAGAGCCAATTGATATTTGTATATTCCTCTCAGATAAAGTTTAAAGTGTGAGACATGTTGTCCACAAATCCCTTTGAAAGAAAAAAAAACTTACAAATTCATAATTCATATTTATTGTTTTGTTCAGGCTAGCCGGAAGAATAGTTTAAAATCTCTTTTTTCCGGTCATCCGATTGCGCTTGTGCAAATGTTCAATATCAACAACATTGTCATGTGGTGCGGAAAGTGTCCCGGATGAGGTGTCGGATTGCAAGCGCGCGTATGCAATGGACGTTTAGAGGATTGGAGATCGTGATTTATATTTAAAGATGTCGTAAAGAAAATTATAGAGAAATGTGATTGCTTTAAAACAAATTTCTATAGGACAGACTCCAGAATAATAGCGTGTGCACGTAAACTGAGAGGAATAAAGCGTGAAATCAAACTGAAATTGTTAATTTACCCCATTACCTTTAATATTTGTATCAATGGAGTAAACAATTCACAGGAAAACGACTAAATCAAATATAATTGGATGCATTAAAATTTCTAAGTTTTACTACAACGGAGATCAACGAACATAAAATTGAGAATGGAAATGGGGAATATATATATCTTTATTTCCTCCAACAATGAAGAGCATTAGTTAGATCGATAGTTAAAGTAAAGTTGGAAGATAGGACAGTAATATCAAAATTAACCTTTACAAAAATATAAAACGTGAAGAATGCGTAAAAAAGAGAAAATTAAACGTTTCTAAACCTAAGAAAGTAGCAATGTCCATACAATAGAATCTGATACACAAATTATTGTCCAATGTTTAGACACCCGTATATTCATACATCTTCAAGTCGCACACATTCAGTAAATGTTTGTGATGCAGGCCTTTTGAAACATAGTTCTTTCATCTTCGTCCAGATCGAAGTCGGTATGACATGATAAGATACATGCTAAAAAGTATTCGTCAGTTAAACTATGAAGATAAGCACTGAATTCGATTGGACCTATATCTATCAGATCACACCAAAACTTGTCCCTTTCTGACTGGAAAGATTCACAAGAGAGTATTCTAACAAGTCATTGATGTATAAAAGATGCAATTTAGATGATAAGCTGTTCCCTTGACGAACACCACGATAAACTGGGAAGAAACGTGAGATTTGTCCGTTGTAAAGAACTGCACTTTGAGCGTCAGAGTACATATTAGCTATAAGCAACCATAACTTTCCAGTTACACCATATTCAAGCAGTTTATACAAGAATTCATTGTGCCAAACCGTATCAAATGCTTTTCACTTCGTTAACTGTAATATTTAGCTTAGCGTTGTCATAAAATGTTCCTTTGAAATGTTTCTGAGCGACCTCGACTGTTTTGTTTATCTCCCGTTCCTTGTCACTAATTGGTTCTGATCCGGTATTTTGTTTGAAAATTGACTCAAAGTGCTCGGCCCATCAGTCTAAAAATATCACCCTGAGTCGAACATTGTCTCCCATTTACAATTAGTTTTGATAAGCAGCTCTTTGACTTTTTATTTTTGTTAAAAAATGACCAGAGACGTATTTGATCTATATCAAAATCCTTTTCGAGTGAATCATATGTCTCTCGCATATCCTTTTGATATGCATTTCGTAATTCTCGACGGAAATTTCTCTTGGCAGATTTGTACTCTAGAAATGTGATATGTTCACCCTTTGGTCTATTTTCAGAAATCCATAGTTGACGTTTTAAAGTCATATGTTGATGCAACGCATTTACAGGTTGAGTCCAGTATGGTTTTAAATATCTTACAAAAGATTTGTGTGGTAAAGTTTCTGTTTCTGATTTTTGTATTGCATCGACGATATTTGTATAATAACACTCTATATCACGATCAGACATCCTTCGGTCGGTATTTCCACTTCCTACAGATACTGTGAAGTTGCAAAAGAAAAGTCTTCCAAACTGATCTTTTCTCGTGTCTTTTTCCATGATACTTGACATGGTTTTATTATATTTTCAGTGTCTACATTTACTGTATCGTCTAATGTTAGCTTAGCTATGATTGGGTGATGATCCTAAACACTGAATGAATGATCGTCTAACACACGTGCTGAATCTACCAGACTGCTATTATCCTTTGATATCAAAATATGGTCTATAGCTGTAGATGGACCATTTTCATACGACTGGAATGTAAGTATATATTTCCTTCCCCAAAGGATTGCAAATGTAGAGAAACGAGGTTCAATTCGTCCAAATATTTCGCAAATGTTTCAGATCGTTTATCTCTAACGGAACAAAAAGATCTTGTACCATTTACTTTGGCGTTTATATCTCCAAGAATGATGACCGTTCCTAGCTGAGAGTATATCATGTATATGTCATAAAGCCGCTCAACATAAATTCAAAAATGTTCGAAAGGTTTAGACGATGCAGGTAAGTAAACACAGAAACAATATATACCCTCGGAGTGAAAAGTATGAATTTCTATTCCTGTTATACGAGTGTCGTCTATACCAATGAAGTCTACATATATTACGATTGAAGATTTAACAATAAAAGTCACACCCCTTCATTCGATTTTTTAATGCTTCAGGGTAGCTATCATCAACACATTTCGGATTTACAGATAAATAAGTCGAATAAATACTGTCGTGTACATTTACAGTGTCTTCGCAACCAATGTTCCTGTAAAGCACATATATCAACATTGTGGACTTTCAAGCACTCCACTAAATATGGGACACTTGACATAATCTCTCGACAATTCCATGACATTAATTTTAGTTTACTGAACATCTTCATAAAAGTGTCACATAAGATATAGATGATTACTAGATACATTATACTGTTAATCGCCATAGTTTTCATTTTTATAACTGGTTCTCTTTTGTACCTGACGACGGGATAACCAACGTTTGAAAAAAATGCCATGTGGCCAAAAGTTCGAATTATACACTCTTTCTTTTTCCGATAGTCGCACATTTAGTTGAGCAGAGTTACTTTATAATCTTTTGGTGAAAACCGAATATAAGTGAACTTGGTATTGTTGTCAGTTAGGAAGGCTCGCATGTCACTTTCGGTGCAGTCTTTCCTAATTCCTTTCACATACAAACGTTCGACTCGTTTGTCCGTTACTCTCCTGAAATTGTTTAACGAAACCATGTTTTGATCACTGGATATAACAACTTCAATGTGTTCTTGTGATGATTGCTTCTGTGTTTGGGTTTTTTTCATGATTTTCCAAAATCTTTGACATTTCATATGAACTAATTCGGATATACTATTATCATCGATGACTGTCTATATTTATAGAATTATCATAAACTATATCTTCTTTGCCTCTATATTGATGCTCGGTCGTTGTCTTCCCTTGTTTCATATCTATGAGCTCTGCCGTTTGAAATTTTGACAGAGTTTTTGGGCTTACGAACGTAATGAGATCAATGTCACCGTCTTCAATCATTTTCGGTGAATTTTGATGGTTCTTTGTTTTCGTTTTTGCCTTTTTTCATGTGACCACTTCTGTGTAAATCGGAGATACTTTTGTTGTTTACTTTGACGTCCGATTTAACTGTATCTATTTTTTCAGTCAAGTCGAATATATCTTTTCTCACTAATTTGAAGTTAGCATTTAAAGCATCTACTCCGCTAAATTTTGAGTCTTCAAGGCCTTGTTATTATATAATCTGCAGACTTTTCTGATATTTTCTTAGCATCAATATTTTCATTCACTGACCGAATCTTGGTTGAGTTACTTTCTGTTTCAGTTGTAAGAGAACTTATAACCGTATCGATTTCTGAAATATCCCTTTTAACCTCATTCAAAGTTTACAGTTAACATAAATTAACAAAGGACTACAAGCAGTTACTGACATGCTAGCTCCAGACCTCATTTAAACTGATTGAAAGATTATGTCTTCATCATATGAAAATCAAGCACAATCCCTCCCGTATAAGATATCTGTATGTTGATTTATATTTACGAATGATGTCCTTGTACCGATGATAAAATTTAGTAAATGTTTTTACTAGTTTGTGATATCGAAAGCCCTGGTGTAATAATTTTTCAGTAACACAGAAATTTCTTTCTTTCGTTAAAGTCAAATACGTTGTTACATACACGAGGGAATCGAACATTTTAGATAATAAACAATAGGAAATGAAAAATCGTCTCTTTTATCGTAAATTTTGGTTTTAAATTTCCCGTTAAAGATATAGATATCAAGATCCAGGAAAGGGCAGTGTTCATTGTTAGTATTAGCCTTATTAAAAGTCAGTTCAGCAGGATAAATCTCTTTAGTGTACACACTGAAGTCCTCATTATTGAGAGCCAATATATCATCCAAATATCTAAAAGTGTTATTAAAGTTTTGTATCAGATGTTGTTTCAATGGGTCTTTGCTGATTTTAGTCATAAATTGTAACTCATAACAATATAGAAACAGGTCCGCAATAAGTGGTGCACAGTTAGTCCCCATTGGAATTCCGATAACTTGACGATATACGGGTTTTTCATAGCGAACAAAAATGTCATCAAGTAAAAATTCAAGTGCAGTTATCGTATCAAAGCAGTCCAATTGACATAGTTCTTTTGTTTGATCCCCCAAGGGTGACTGGGGAATAGAAGTATGGTCACCATTGGTCTTCCTCCGACCGGCAGTAAAACCCGTGCTAAAGTGGGGCGTCCGTTTGGCTGTGCGGGATGTACAAATTTGCAGCCACGTCCGGTCAGAATGGGGACGTTAAATCCGATGCCTCGTGTAAAGAGAGTGCCACGCTCTTTGCACGTTAAGAACCCTTGCAACAACTCTTTGAGGGGTCCGTAGGTGACCTGTTGCAAGGCTAAATTTCTGTCCCTATCCAATATACCCTCATTTCCCGTGGCAGTCTAAATTTCTCCGACCATAATCCCTTAATCTATTACAGAACCTACCTATTGTATTTATTGTGAACTTGTTCTCGTCCTGAATATGCATGAAATATTTGCCACTGGACGTTAAGCAACCAACAATCAATCAATCAATCTTTTGTTTGTTGTTACTAAAAAATTACCTAAAAGAGTTTGAACATATATATTCGCATTCTGACTTTTAATATGCCCATTTAATTAGCTGTGTGAATTTTTTCTTAATGAGATTATGAGGCGGACTATATCAACAACATACACTGATATGGCTGGACTTGGAAATTAGTATATCAGAATTGGGGTATAAACCCCTCTTTTAATTTTATTATGTTTTATTTATTTTCTCAATTAAAAAATATTATGTTTTTGTTATGATAAACACAATCTTACTTTGGGTCAGTTTACATGTGCCTACCCTTTTCTCTTATTTTCTATGTGTTAAATAAAAAATCGTGCAAAATCATTTGACGACTTCATTGAAACCAAACTTTAAGGGAATGATATATTCAGGATCTTCTTTAGGAATCAAAGATGTCATTTGAAGCCATAAATCAGTGGCCCGACTCCTAACCTTGCAGGAAATTCATAGGTAGAACATTAAAAGAGGAGAGGCATTTTTGTCCCCTCTCCCCCATTCCCTTAGAATACAAAGAATCTGAATATGATGTATACTATGAATTAAATGTATTTGCATTTTGATTTGTATTAGTAAATGAAAACTTTTTTGCATATTTTTTGCCAAGTGACTTTAATTAAAAAGTTTTTTTGCTGCATATCAAGCGATGTTGATATTCTTCTTTTGAACTCTTATGACAAGCTGTTTATATTTACGGGGAATCAGCGTATTCCATAGAACAGCCAGTAGAAATATAAATAAAAGTCGGTACTTGAGGATTTTATTCTCAAAATTCTGTTTTTTTTTTTTTATTACTAATTTCCAGAATATTTTGCCTTGAGTTTATAATCAGTAACGTCCCCGCGGAAAACGTTCAAAATATGAATAGTTCCAAAGATCAGTGTAAGCATGGGAGGAAATGTTTTGCTACTACATTCTCCATTGGATGCTACAATTACCACTTAACCAAAAACATATTCATTATTCAATGTTATGTATGGCCGGAATGATAGCATGATAGCAGAGAAAAGCTTTTCTTTCCGGATGGCCGGAAGAATAGACATTTTTTGCTATTTTACCGGCTAGCCGGAAGAATAGCCATTGCCTAAAATTTTTTTTTTATCAAATTAAGGAAATCAAGTCATTGATTTAAAAAACCTAATTACACAAATAAATCTGAGGCTCATTTGTCAAGGATTGATTTTGCAGATGTAACTATGTACTAACTACTGTAATTTTAACATATAATATTGATACATGTATTTTTGCCAATAAACACATTACAAAATAAATTGAGGCAACAGTAGTTAACCGATTTTCGTTTAAATTCATAAAAAAAGTATTTACAAAAATACCGAACTCAATGTTAAATGAAAATTGCGGGAAGTACATTAAATATGACAAAATCAAACGCTCGACTATATCAACAAACGCAACGAACGAAAAAGAACTGTCATATAACTGATTTGGTACAGGCATTTTCGAAAGAAAATAGTGGGTTGACCCTGGTACTCATCACGACATAATCAAGCATTTAAACATTGGTGTAATGTATTCATATAAATTATGATAATTCATAAGTATGCTTAATAAGATAAAAAGATAGAAATAAATCTATAAAACCGTACAGAAATGTTTCACTAATTTGCATGCAAAAAACAAAAAATGAAAAATAAAAAATGAAAAATGAAGAAAGCATTATTCTTTTTAAGACGAATCGTCTCCAAGGGTAATACTATCACCAAACAGAGGTAAAATCTGCTGCCTAAATATCAGATTTTCCGGTCGTTTAATGTAACCTTCCTGCTTGTGAAATGATAAAGTTGTTCGAAATACTGTTTTTTTGCTCCTATGTATGGTGGCACAAGCATAATTTTTCACTATTTTGTAAACTCGTTAAGTTCTGAAAGTTTCTGGTTTCCCCTTTTTTCTGCTAAAGATTCTTCATTAGACGAAACGGGTGTATGTTGTACTAATTGAAAACCTGGTTGTTCGAAAAAGGAGCAATTTCACGTTTTGTAATGATATATTTTTTAAGCATTACTTTTAATTTGGAGGAATATGGTCGATTGAAATAAACTACGCATAGCGAAGCTCCAACGCTATTCATATAGTATTTAGAAAATGTCAATAATTTAAATAACTTATTTAGTACGACAAAACAGACGA